ATAAATTAAACAAAACAGAGTGACGCACAGAAAACAGAGCTGGCGCCACCCTTGGCTAGCTGGCGCCAGGCACCAACACTAGCGCCAGGCGCCAGGCCTGGTTCCAGGCGCCAATGCCTGGGGTTAGGCGCCAAGCCTGATTTTAACGCGTTTTCGAAAATCAGATAAATTTGCCGTACTGGAGGATAAAATCGTATAATTTCCTCGAAAATGCTATATGATTTTGATTAAAACTCTGAAAAGTTAACAAAAGTCAATTTATCAATGCTAATTGAATTAGGAATGAAAAGAACCTTCTAGAAGATTCTAGAAGACTAAAACCATTCCTAATTTCATTAGGAATGATAAATCATATTAGGCTCTCCCCTAGATCATTGGGTCGTATATAAAGCTCAAACCGGGCCCAGATTAGTAAATTGGCCATAACTTCCTTAATATTCATCGGAATTGGGCTTATAATATATCGTTGGAAAGGTCTTTGCAAGCCCTATCCAACTACACTACTATTGGACCCATATCATGGACCAACCAAACTAGATTGGCTGTTTTCTTAAAATAATTTTCAAAAACAGAGAGAAGAGAAAAGAATTAAAACTTTCCGCAACACTAGACTTTCCACACTTTCGCTTCATTCGATTATGAGCGACGTGAAAGGTACTCATCACTGGGTTTGGTTTTGGGGAGACACAAATGGGTGTCTACAAAACCGGTGGCCATTGATCGGTGCCAATCACTATTTTTCTACTAGTGATCTATTAATGGTGATCGATCACTTGAATTAAAATCATATTAGCCTAAATAAAATTATTAATTATCTTATTAGGCGTTATTTCAAGTACAAATTCCCTTTAAACCTACAAGAGAGGGTGTGATCAAGCAATAACAATAATATATCAAGCAACATAATAATATAGATACAACAAATCATCATCGCAATATTAATATCAATATCATCAAAGCATAATATTAGCAAGATCCTAGGCATGATACTAACATGATTAATAACAAATCCTAGCATGTCGCTAACAATAAAAATCAAATCTTTAGCCCTGACATGATACTAGCATGATAAAAGAAAATAGGAAGCAATCTAAACATGATACTAGAAAGCAATAAATAACATCTTAGCATGATACTAGGAATCAAAATAATATAAGCATGCTTTCTAAAGAAATGTAGAAATAAAATTACTCACTTTGTTGCCTCGTATCTCTTTCTATCAAAACAATACACACGTTAGTAACTTCAATGAAAATATTAAATCAAACAATTAATTTAAATAATTAAAATAGGGATTTGGGACCAAATTCTCAGAACAAACAACCTTTCACATCTAGGGCGAAGGCAACTTCGACCTTGGTTATGTGTGTCTAAGTCTCGTGATGGACGAGTATTACTTGATAAAGGAAGGCTTAGAAAGAGGGAAAAAGAATAAGCTTCTAGCTTTGAGAGAGAGAGAGAGAGAGAGAGAGAGAGAGAGAGAGAGAGAGAGAATAGAATAGCACTAGTAGAAAAAGGCAAAAAGGCACCGCTCAATTGCCACCGATTTTAAAGAACCAGTGACAAAAACAGGGGAAAAATAGGCGGGGATATTATTGCCACCGGTTCAAACCGAACCGGTGGGGAAAATATTATTCCCACCAGTTCAAAACCGGTGGCTTTCTAATATATAGTAAAAAAAAAAAAAAAAAAAAAAATCGGCCCTATATATACCCAAACCCTACCATTTCACGCACCCATCACCAGTCGTTTCATCACCCACCTTCTCTTTCTCTCTTCTCGACCAGTTCATCACCACCTCTCCTCCTTCTCTTTCTCTCTCCTCGATCAGCTCCGATCCCCACTCCCCTCTTCTCCTTCATCCTCTCCTCCTTCTCTTTCTCTCTCCTCTCTTCCCTCTCCTCCTTCTCTTTCTCATTTCCTTCGATCTCCACCACCACCACCAATTTTTCCACCACCACCAAGACCACCACCGCAACAATAACACCACCATCGCTGCAATAACACCACGAACACATGCATGAGAAACACCAACTTCAATCGAGGTTAGGGTTTGATTTTAATTGATTTTTATTTGATTTTAATTCGATTTTAATTTGATTTTAATCGATTTTAATTCAATATTTATTTTATTTTAATCGACATTATTCAATTCTTGTTGATTTTTCTGGGTTTTTAAACCGAATTTATCTGTGTTTTAAAATTGAATTGTTCTAAGTTTTTTAAATCGAATTTTCTGAGTTTAAAAATCGATTTTAATTTTATTTTAATCGATTTTATTCTAGTTCTTCTGGGTTTTTTTGGTTTTTAAATCGAATTTTTCTGGTTTTTCAATCGAATATTTCTGGGTTTTTTAAATCAAATTTTCTAAGTTTTAAAATCGATTTTTATTCGATTTTTATTTGATTTTAATCGATTTTATTCGAGTTCTTCTGGTTTTTCTTGGTTTTTAAATCGAATTTTTCTGGTTTTTCAATCAAATTTTCTGGGTTTTTAAAATCGAATTTTTCTGAGTTTTAAAATCGATTTTAATTCGATTTTATTTGATTTTAATTCGATCTTCTGGGTTTAATTCGATTTTAATTATGGGTACATTCTTTTTTTCAGGGTTTTTTGAGGGTATAACTCGATCTTCTGGGTTCAAGTGTTTTGAGTTTTTTTTTTTTTTTGCGCTTATATTTTTTAATCAATTTTTTTTTTAATTGATTCAGGTATATTGATGAAATTGAAGAATCAAGATTTAGGAATATTGATTTAGATGTTCTATGGGTTTTTTTTTTTATGATGTAATTTTTTTTTTGGTTTATATTGTATTTTTTTTATTTATATGTTGTAATTGTTCAATACTTCAATTATATTGATTTATATTGGAATTTTTTTTTTTACGATTATATGTTGTAAGTTTGCGATTTATATATATTGAATGATGATATGAAATTCGATTTATATTTTGATGTTGATTTTTTTTTTTTTGGTTTAATTGTTCGGTATTTCAAGTGAATTAAAAAAAGAAAAAAATTATATGGGAGAATTGCCACCGGTTAACCAGTGGCTTAAATTTAATATAAATAAAAAAACGGGAATTGAGTATTGCCACCGGTTAACCGGTGGTAATAATATATAATTCCACCGGTCAATAACAAAACCGGTGGCTTTTAAATAAGCTATTGCCACCCCCCACATGCCCACCGGTTCAAAACCGGTGGCATAAGGGGGTTTTAAACCGGTGGCCTTTAGTATTTTTCTACTAGTGTAGATGATTGTTGTTGATAATTAAAAACGGGGATATATGACCCTATTTCAATCGAAGTAAAACCGTATCCATGCATCGCGGCGCGATAAACCATCGCGACGCAATGGCTCCATCGCTGCGTGACAGGATTATCACAATGTAATGGCTCCATCGCGGAGCGATGGTGCTGCTTGATAATTTTTAGCTGTACAAAATTATTTTTCGAATATAATTTGGTAATTAGAGTCCGTACATTATCTTTTAAAATCACTTGTTTTATTCCAACTAAAATGCTTTATATTTTCTAAAAATATAATTATTAATCCTAATCTCTTTAGATATTAAAATAACCTTCTAGATTATTCTAGAAAATTAAAGTAATTCCTAATGACTTTAGCAATGATAATTAAATGGACCCTCCACTTGATCATTGGGTCACCCATAAAACATATTTAATATCCAATTTAATATTGAAATCGGGTTTTATAATATATCGTTGGAAAGCTCTTTTCGAGCCCCATCCAACTACACTATTATTGGGCCCTTATCATGGACCAAACTAAATTGGATTGACATTTTCATAAATAAAGCACGAAAAGGAATATTCTTGAAAGCAGAAAGAAGTATTTATATTAAAACAGAGGAATTACGAGACTCTTTCACATTTCACTTCATTCGATAATCAAATGACATTAAAAGTACTCATCCCTGCATTTGGTTTTGGGGAGACACAATTAGGTGTGTGTGTGTGCGCACGCGCGCACACGCGTGTATGAAGCATTCCTAAAAAAGAATATGTGCCATGTGGCATCATTCACATATAAGAAATATGCCACATCATCGAAATATGACTCATCATCCATTTTTCTATAAACATATTTCAATGGAAATAAATATGTTTATTGCAAGGTTTAAACACAAGACCAATTAGAAATGAATTAATATTCTTATCATCTTTGTCACCTTTTAATTATGCTTCATATTCCATCATAACAAACTAAATACTTTGTATATAACATCAAATTGAGAGTGCTTATTTAGTCTCATTAGTTATTAATATTCATTGGTTTAATTAATTACATAGATATAAGTTTAATTTATAGCTCCAGCGTATTGCTCTGGCTACACACTATTTTTTAATTAAATGGTATATCTTAATAGTAATTCTCTAAATTTTGATTTTTTTTAATTAAAATGTATAATTGAAACTTATATAATAGCTTTAAAAGAATCTATATCTAAATATTATTTAGGATTTTTAAAAGTAAAAAAGAGAAGGATAACTTTTTATTTAATTAATAATTATTTTGATAAATAAAATTACTGATAATTAATTAAATTTGGCCAAAAATTTTGGTATATATGAATTAAAATACTCATAAATATTTCTAGTCTATTAAATTATTTTAGGGATAAAGGCAATATATATAGTTAACTACTTACAATAAAATATCTATTTATACTTAAATAATTAACATAAGTGAATTTGACTTAAAAGTTAAAAAAAAAGATACAATTTTCACGTAATAATACTTACTATAATAATCATTATAGCATTTCATTAATCTATAATGTATCACAATAACTAACAATCACAAAATGTGTAATGCAAATTACTTCATAATTAAGAACCTAGAAATGATATACTCCTATGTCTATAAAATTCTACTTGAACTTATTCTGTGCAATAAAAATACCAAAGTAGGAACAAATTACATTTTGTGATAAAGGGGTATAACTTTGGCATTGATGATTATTGATTATAATATTAAGTTTTGAATATAACATCTATATCCTCATCATTATGGCCATTGTGGAAGTCAAAATGTTCCTTATTTCGAAATGCCTTATAAAGTGGGCTAACAAAGAACACTGCAGTTGTTCGTGCGTAGTTTGAGTTTGTCACTATTCGATGCACCACCCCTTTCATTTTCCCATTGCTAATAACCTGTCTCAAGTTGAACTTTAATTAACAGTCTCCAATGTAATGTACTCATATATCACAAATTTTTACAAAGTATTTTGTACGAGAAATATGATACAAATATAAGAAAAAACATATGTGTGTAGATAAATAGTGGCGGGTCTAGGGGTGGGGGTTGCTAGGCTGGGACCTAGGCCTTTCATTTCTTTTAATTATCTTCTAAATGTTGCAATATTAAATATTGTTTGGCTATTATGGGTGGAAATTGAATTTATTTTATAGCTTTTGAGTCTTTCTAGTATCACCTTTTTTTCTTTATCTTAAGCTTAGCCTATGATATATATCGCACTATTAGAAGTGTAGAACAATAATAATTAACTAGGTTATTTGGAACAGTATTGATTACCTCAAATTGTTTTCCCACAAAGACTAGAAATGCATTAGGAGCCGTCTCAAAATCAAACCATTGCTCATCCTTAAGAAGTTGGTGACCTGGAACATTGGCGGGTGCTTGAACTATATTTATAAGGGTTGGATCTTTGCGCTTGGGTAGTCCTATGATCAAACTTGGATCAGGGCATTTTGGGTAGTGATTTATAGTTAAGATGTTGTCTTTAGTTATCTCATTTGCAAAATAACTTTTTTCTAACCCAAGCCCTTTGGATATTTGCTCTAAGATCTTCCTTCCCAAGCACTTCAAGGCAAAAACGTATGCTTTAACTATCTCCCTGGAAATTTAAGCATGAGTACAATGTCAAACAAGACTAGTTAAAGTTGTGCGTACTTGGTATAAAAAATGACTATTCCATATTCTGTTGTTAGATTTAAGTATTGAGGTTTATGTACTTGTACTTTTCAAAAATGCACATCTATTTTAATTTGGGCAGATACGTTAAACGATGGGTGTAGAAACACGCAAACATATCAATGTATGTCATATCTCAATTCATACTTTTTACATGTTAAATTTAGCGTTAAATGAGTGATAATATGATTGATTACCTACAACTTTCAAGATTTTGAGGCCGAAACCTGATGCTTTCTTCCAAAGGGTTACAATTGTGCCTTAAAACATCCCTCCAAAAATGAAACTCCTCAGTGTCATAATTGTAGCTATTTGAGTAAATTCTGTAAATGTTTATCAAATCTTCTTTCATGTTTATTTTCGATCTTTCCTGTGGAGGCAACTCAAATACTTCCTTGAACACTTTCATTGCATCATTCATTAACTCTCTTGAAATTCCATGGTTTATCACCTATTTTAAGAGAAGAAAATTAAATACATAACCTATATTTATGATCAAATTATTAATAAAAAAATTGATAAAATTGGTCACAATCAAAACCACCTATTGACGAGGTGCATAAAACAATATGACTTATGCATTAGATACCTTAACACCACTATGAATTTGGGTGCATACAATGACATAAATGAGGCTAGAGGTCAGATATTCCACTAGAAAAGTCAAATCTTTCAGTTTAATTATCATTATTACTATGATTAGACAAAAGTAACCTCAACCACACAAAATCTTTAACAAAGGTACACGTAGCACCATGAATTTCAACTAGTAATCGTAGCAGCACAAAAGTAAATATTGTATAGCTATATAATTGCTATAGAGTACTGAATACATGAAGTACAAACCTGAAATAATCCCAAATCTTGGCTAGCCTTCATAATGTGTTGAATTGAATTCTTTTCGTCATGAAGATCAATTATTGGAATTACTATTTTGCATGCATGACCTAAAAATTGTATAGAAGAATTTTGAACTGTAAGTTTAAGCATGTCACTATATTTTAGTAAGGCTATGGCTAGTTCATCCAAGTATCTTATTACTTATTTCATATCGAATAAGAAAAAATAAGTTTCAATGAGAATTAAAGCCATAATTTATCATTTTTGCGAGACTTTTTATTGCTAAATATCTTTAATTCAAAAATAAAACAATATATAAATTATATAATTGCAATATACACACATTAATACAAATATAATAAAACACATTGATACATACTCCCATCATTTAAAAATTATTGACACGATTGAATTTGACATATATATATATATATATATATATATATATATATATATATATATATATATATATATATATATATATATCAATGCACTAGTTTGACCTTAGATATATACTCCCTCCGTCCCCTTTTGTTTGTAACTTTTGAAGGAAAATCACGGGAATTAAGGTGGAGAATATGAAGTAATGAAAGTATATGGGAAAGTGGAGGGTGGTGGTTGGGATCTGATTTTAATCGGGGGTGGATTTTAGTCGGGATGATAGGGTTGGTAAGGATGGTGGTGGAGGGTGGGGGTTGGGATCTGATTTTAATCGGGGGTGGATTTTAGTCGGGATGATAGGGTTGGTAGGGATGGTGGTGGAGGGTGGGGGTGAGGACTAGTGGTGGTTGGGCAGTGGTGGGGTCGGGCTTGTGGGGTTGTGGGGGATGGACAGTGATGGGGTAGGGGCTTTTGGTTTTTATTTTTTATAAATAAAAAAATCAAATACTTTTGATAAAATAGTTTTTTTTAAACTGACCAATCACCTTATGACACATGTCACCATTAACCTATTAAATAGGTTACCAACAGGTTCTGTTATATTTTGAGCAGATCTATGTCAAAGGTCATTTTATTCCAGGATAATCAAAAGGTCGTTTTATTTATAGAAGACCGATGATAGGTCATATTATTATTGACAATTTTTCCAATTATTTATTAGTAAAAATTATAAAAAAATATATATATATATATATAAAAAACTTAATATTGTGAAACTATCAATTACTTGATATGATATGGTGTATTATTTGATATGATATGGTGTATCAAGTTTTTTTAATTAGATATGATATGGCCATATCATATTATATATGATATGATATGTGATATATAATACAGAGTACACCATATCATATTATATATTATACCATACATAATCTTATTAGATAAGAAAAAATAAATTCAGATCATATTAAATTAGAAATATAAGTTCATATCAGATCAGATTAGAATAATTAAGGTCATATCATATTAGATTAAATAAGTTCAGATTTGATTAGATAAGCAAAAATTAGGTGAACTAAACATAGCCTTATTTTTTTGGCGGAAAAACGTAGTCTGATCTTATATAAGGATTTTATTACTTAATTTAGATTAAAAAGTTCAAAATAGATTAGATTAGAAAAAATAAGTTCATATATACTATATCGTTTTATGTGCAATTTTCCATTGTTCCTTTTTTAATTTGCTAATAATTTATAAATACACTACAAATCACGCTAAATTAAGTATAATTGATGTTATATTTTTATCTGTTTTTTTTTTCCTTTTTAGCTTTTTATATGTAGTCCTAAGGGAGTAAGGGTTATGTATATCATTTACATTTCTTTTTCTTTTTTTTAATCTCTAAGTACTCACATGGTCAATATTTTTCTTTTGCATATATAAATACATTATTATTATCATTCATTTTTCGCTCTTCTCTTACATTCCTTATTTTTTTAAAAAAACCAATACCCTACTATTTCTATCCTATATCTTTTAATTCCTCAACAAACCTCACTTAAGCAATGTTTTACTTCATTCTACTCACCTTCCAATAAATACTTGTCGATTCATCAATGCATTTAAAAGACGAATGGAGTATATATAATAATACAGTGTATGTATTAGGAGTGTGTTGTATTCAACTCATTATTTTAATAATATGAAACATAACTTCATTTTGTCTAAACATGTATGAACTTATTTAAGATTATTTTAATCTGAATTTAACTTTCTCATTCGATAAAAAAATGTTTCAAAATAAGTTAATAAATCACACATCTTAATTCTTGAATCGCTTTGTAATAAGGAACTGTTTACACTCCGGTTCTCAAAATTTATAATGAAATGATACACTCTAATTGATCGTTAATTCATTATAATTCAAATGAGAGAGAAGATAACTCAAAATAACCAAGGATGTCCATAAAGCCTCTCCCATTTATCTTTAGTTGATATATTTTTTTATCACAATTACCAACACATAATTTTATCAATTAATGATCTCTAATTATTAATATTTTAAAATTACAAAAAGGTAGATGTTAATACAAGCAAGATCTCACATGACTATATTTTATATAGTTATAAAATAATATATAGTTGGGAATAATGTTAAAAGTAAAAATGTATCAACTTAAAACAAACCATAGAAGTATTTGCTAACAAGTACACAAGCACATCAATTGGCCCCACTTAATTTAAGTAACATGCATGCATATTAAGTTGGCCAGCCATTAGAATATTGTGTACAAAGCGAAATAAAATACATATAATTTTTTTTTTTTCTGTTGTATTTTTTTTTCTTTCACATAGAACATAATTATATAAAGATAAATGAGTGTAAATTAGATGAAGGTTTAATTTATAAGAAAACTAACCCGCTTTGTCTTTAGGTGGAACCACATACTTTTGAGGTATTTCTCTATTTGCTATAATAATGCTACTCGAGAGGAGGTTCGCCATTTTTTTTTTTTTTTTGAAGAATATTAAGAAATTAGAATAGCTGCAATTTATGATGAGGAAATGAATTAGCCATTTTGCCCCCCTCTTTATAGTACAATTATAGGTGTAACTTATTGATAAGAAATCATTCTCTCTATAGATTTTTCAAGATATTTGTAAATCAAATATGTTTTGCTATCCTAAATGATTTATTTATATAGGTAATTTTAGTGTATCTTGATTGATTATTTCCATATACTTTTATAAAGAAATATCTTGATTGATTTGATTTTCAAACACTAGTATATGGGGGTTGGGTCCAGACTATGACCCGTATGAAGTTAGAAATTTTTGTTTTATATTTTTTTTTAAGAAAAATATGCAGCATCTACAATAACATTAAATATTTGTAAACTTCAGCGTCAGAGAAAGTAACATAACTTTATAATCAAAATCTTTTGCATATATATTTGGCAGCATAGCTCACACTCCGCCGCTTCAAGCTTGACGTGAACAATGATTTATGATATCTTCACATCTTTCCAATTAGTTTAAAAAAAGAAAATAATCACACACTATTCTTAAGAGTTAAAAAAAATATGCGCTCATTATTCTCAAGAAAATATTTACACACTATTCTTAAGGGTTAAAAAACAATTAACATTAATGAGAGCGAATACGTAACTAAATAAAGGATATAATCGTCCAAATTCTATATATGTTCATAGGAGTTGAATCATTAAATCACACATAGTTAAGCTTAGAGGCAATTAACACAATATCAGTACGGGCATATAGGTAAACAAACATTTTGAGGATATAATTGTCCTCACACTATTCATAATTGTTTTCTCATATTATTTAAAAGTTAGGGATTAATATTTTTGTAATGTTGAATTGTGTTATAATCCGATTATAATTTATAATCTTTAACTAAATTTTAATGAATAAATTTACGAGTACAATATTAAATTTTAATCTAGTTATTTAACGACAAAGTAATTATTTTAATTAAGTATATTTTGTGATATACATTCATAATTTAGCAAGCCATTGAAATTAAAATAAATTCAATATTTTAAAAAGTAATTAAAATAAATAACATTAAAATAGTTGATGTTTTGCCGAGCTTCCAACTAAACGATGCGTTAGGGATGCTTTTGTTATTCAGCCTTCCCAAAATGCATTGTTTGGGAAGTGTGCTGACCAAAAAGTAGACAAGTTGCATTGACTAGATGAGGCTCACGACACTTACTACAGCTTTGGAATTTCGCCCAAAACTTGAGAAATTTAAATAATTCCCATGGACATTTTCACTTTTGCCCATTGCTATAGTAAAAAAGCAAATTTTATTACCTCTAATTTTCCTCATAAACATTGTTATACCCACTAGTGATAGTGGTTAAAGGGACAATACTTCAGGAACGGAGGAAGTAATTATTATTCAAAAAGAACTCAAGAATCCTTTTGTTTTGGTTGATACTTTGTAACATTATTCTGTTTTCTAGTTTAGAATATTTTCAAAAGAAATTTCTGATTCCCATTTTTAGTTTGTAACGGATGAAATACAATTTTCTCAAAGGAAAAGTAGTTTTATCATAATGGAAAATGTCGCGGAATGATAGACCGCTACCCGGTATAGGTCATCTCGCCCAATACCAAGTGACGTCAGCTTTATTTTTAACAAATATATTTTATTTAGGGTAAATAACAGTTTTTAATGAATCAATAACAGTACTTGATAAATTAATAACAACACTTTTATTTAAAATAACAGTTTTTAATAATGCACCGATTATTACTATGATTCGATTTGAAGATCCTTTATATGACTTTTATTGGTACTAGCTTAGTTATCACTACTTTACTACTTATATCTTAAACAATTAGTGTTTATAATTTAATAGTCCATCATGTTTGCAATATAAAATGTTTTACTTAGAGAGTTTTGACCAATACCTGAACTTAGTCGACAATGGAACCTCCAGCGTTCTAAGCTTTCAGCTTTACCAAGGTAGTTAACCCCAACCCCGTCTTCCTTAGATCAGGCATAACATAGATCTTATTTGTTTCCTACCTTAGATCATAGTTTCTACTCAAACAATCTCTATTGTATTTTGTGATGGTAATTTTAAACATAAAAATAACTCATTTGTGACATAAGTTTTGAGAGGATAATGTTCCCTTTTGAAAGGAATATTTTTTATTTGAAAGATTACAACACTCATTCCTTACAAAAAAAAAAAAAAAAAAAAAAAAAAAAAAAAAAATCTAAACAGACATGACAAGAAATAGAGTTTTTCTCTATTAAGAGAGATGGAGAGCTAATCTATCTATTAAGGTGAAGATTTTCTCTAGAGAATTTTCTTGTTTTCAAAAATGCTCTAGCCAACTCACTTCAAGTCTGCCCTTACTTCTTTATGTAATGCCTTTTATATAGGGGAAGGCTCACATAGATCACCGACACTTTCTATGGTTTACAGAAAACCATGACTAAGCAAGTGAATATCGTTCACTGCTTTTCCAAATATTCTTTAAAATAAATAAAATGGGCTACAACAGTAAAATTATAATACATTATTACTGGTGTGGGCTCAGGACTCCATCATATCTTGTAAACCACTTTTACTGTCCTTACTATCTTCATAATGGACATACATTTGGTTGTCTTCTTCTATACCGAGATCCATCACACATTTGGCAGCATAGGATTCATCCCATGTGACAAAGATATCCAATATGTGCTCTTTTCCTTCTAAGGATAAATATCTCCCAACTTCAACTTGTTCAAGATACTCATAAACTGATTCGCCATGTAATACTCCTTCTAACTAATTTCTTAACCATTTGGGTGCTACTATTGTGGTATTTCTCACATGTATTATGACTGGTGGTTCTTCCTTTATCGCTATGAACTGGTTAAGATACCGAACAATATAGAAAAATACATAAGCTCTTGCCTCCCTAGGATCTTTTACTTGTCTCTGCTGGATACAGATTGGATCTTTGACTTTGCGATGAATATCTTCAAACATGGTCAGGAAATGTGGAGAGCTAACTTTTCCTTCAAGCATTTCAATGTTTGCACTTGGACTTGTTCAACTCTTCCTTTGTATCTTATTGCATCATAAATTCTCCTAAATATATACCTCTGAAATTTAGTGAGCCTCACAACGAAAGTAGTATTATTATCAGGAAATGGCACAATGTTATGAACCATTCCATAATCCCAAGCTTTGTAGTGCTCTGTCACATATGGTGCCCTCCATTCCAGAGAATGTGGATGAATTGACACAGTACCCACTCTGGAATTGGTGTTGAACATTATTTTACTTTCCCATATATCATAGACATCATACAACATGTATGACCTTGATACAACTAAATCGTACCATAATCTAAAATCGTTATCTTTTATTTTATTTAGTATTATATTCTTAATATCTGGAATGATTCGCAAGATGGTGACCATTACTTCGTACATAAGAACCTTCGGACTGCTATATGACAACTCTTAACCAAACCATCTCAAGATCTCTTTTTTGATGAAACAATCATGTTCTCCATCACAGCCCAAGTGGAGGGTGAAACCCGCTCCATTGCTTTATCTGTTTCTTCAATAAGAGTTTATCTCTCTGCCTCCATCTTTTCTAGTTGATGGGCAGAAGGTGTTTTTGATGTCCAGTGCTTCTTCACCATTGGCTGATTCTCTAGTCAGATTATCTACCAATGAATTCTTCGATTCCTGTATATGTTCAACAGTAACATTGAATTGGTTAAGCCATAATTGCCAACGCATGCGTTTGCATATTAGACAAATTCTTTTTAACAAAACCAAGTATGCCTTTGCAATCTGTTCTTATTAAGAACTATTTAGGGGCTAAGAAGATTAAGAACTTCTCGAACCCTCTAATGACTGCAAGGATTTCCTTTTGCATAGTGGGATAATTTAACTCAGCTTTATTAAAACTTCCACTACTATATCTGCAAAGTCTTTATATTTCTTTGATTTTTAACACAGCACTCCAGTGCTCATTACTAGCATCTATTTCAAGGATTAAATCATCTTTACACATTGCTTTTAAATATTGAACAATTTTGGAATCACTTTCCTTACAAATCCAAGTTATTTCTTTCTTGAGTTTTTGTCTTAAGGGTTTTCTTAATAGAGCAAGATTTTCTATGAAATCAGAAGCATAGGTTAAACATCCTAGAAATGTTTCTAGTTGTTTCCTATCTTCAATTTTATCTAGAATTTTTCAATCTTTTTCAAGATATGCTTTTGCAGTATTATTTGTCCGGCTTTAATTTCTAATCCTAGAAACTCAATTTCTTGTTTAACATAAACACATTTATCTTTTCCAAGAATTATACCATGCTCAGCACATTTTTGAGTTACAACTTTAAAATCATTCTTATGTTGTTCTAAATCTTTTGAATGTGTTAGAATATCATCTATATAAACCAAACAACAATGATTAAGTTCTCTAAAATTATTATCCAATCTTCTCTGAAATATTTGTGGGGCATTTTTTGAATTCTAAAGGCATTACTAACATTCATAATGCCCTTGAGGGGCACTAAATGCAGTTAATGGAACGCTTGATTAGGGGGTTTTTATCCACTAATCACCGTCTGACAAGTGGACCAACCAGGTTCCGCCACGTGTCCTTCACGAAGGCCAACAGGAGCCAGCCACGTGTCAATCACAGATACGTCCTCTACGGACCAATTTAGACACGCCACGTGTCCACCCATGCCAAATGGGAAAACCGGCCATCAAGGCCCAATCCAGTTTAGAGGCCCGATCAGCCCTAGGTTTACCTTAAACCTAGAGAGTGGCACGCTTCTCAAGGCTATAAATACTCAATTAATCCTCATTAATTAAAAAACGAATCGAGAAATCAAGTAATCAAGTAGAGAAGAACAGAAATATTACGGAACACCAACAACCGGCTAATCTCGCTAACGACGCAGATTACCAACATTAAGCACTCTCACCTAGAGAGATCTTATTACTT